TAGAAAATTATATAATTTTTAAAGTGGAGAATTTTATAAGAACTCTACAAATGTGAGACTGTTTTACTACATGGAACTCTTGTGCTACAACTAACCAGGAAAAGACATCCAACAATATCCAGATTAATGACTTTGACATTAATCCAAAAAGTATCAAATGCTGAGGCAGACCCAGACATCAATGGCAGGAGCCCTAAATCTTGTAGCAGAGTCTTCTGGGCACCAAGGCAGCCACTAACCAGCAATAGGTGAGTGTGGGGGTAACAGGGAAGGAATGAGAACCACATCAAAGAGGAAGAATTATGCTGTATTTCTTTTTTAAAAATTCCATGGTTAAAAAAAATAAAATGCATACTACCTGCCCATTCCAGAAAATCCAAGAAATAAGAGAAGCCAAAAATAAAATTGTTGAAAATCTCATTTAATTCCACCCAAAGGCATATACAGGTGACACTTTGGTATATATACTTTCTTAGGTATTTCCTTTGTGTATTTTTCTAAATTGGAGTCATAGTAAATATGCTGTTTTGTAAATAACCTGCCTTGTTACCTCATAGTACCTGGTGAACACCTTTTTTGCCCTATGAGTAAACACTGTCAGAGTATGGCTTTCAACATGTTAAAAATTTGACTCTCCTATAATGAGTGTGTGTCAGTTTCTTAATGAAGAAACCAGGAGGATGGTAAAGCTGGTTTAAGGGAGAAACGAACTTATACAGTCAGTGAGGAAAAAGTGTGCTTAAAAAATTGCAAGGTTAGATATGGAATTGGTTAGTGTTCTACAGGGCAATGGAGTTGTATCCTGTGAGGTTATATTTTCAACTGGACAGAAATAATTTGCATCTTCACTGGATAAAAGCATTTGCAATTTCTTAATCTCAAAATTAATTCTAACTTCATAGAATCTAGGCCCATAAGGAAATAGTCACTCAACAAAAGTACATTGCTGTAGTGATTCTCAACCGAGGGCAGTTCTGCCTCCCAAGGGACATTTGGCAATGGCTGCAGTCATGCTTAGTTGTTAGAACTGGAAAGTGCTACTAGCATCTAGTGGGTAGGGGTCAGGGTTGCTACTAAACAGCCTACAATATTCAGGACAGTCCCCCACACAACAAAGAATTATCCAGCCCCAAATGGCTATAAGGCCCACCTCTCTACCCACTAGATGCTAATACCACCCCAACAGTTGTGGCAACCCAACTGGCCTCTGAGGGTTTAACTCTCTGATGATGAAATCCCCTCCATTCAGAACCAGGGATGTAGATTTGCGCTGTACAGAATGGTAGCCACTAGCCATGTGTAGTTATCCAGATTATGATGAATTAAAATTGAAAATTTTAGTTGTCACAATAGACATACTTCAAGTGCTCAATAGTAAGTAGGACTAGTAGCTACTCTACCAGACAGGACCAACAGAGAACATTCTTATCACTGTAGAAAATTCTACCTGTAATTTAGAGAAATAATCCATTGATGAGTCTGTTAGACATTGGGCCAATATAATACTGAAGAATAAATGCAATCATCCGCTTTCCTTATTTCCAAGTTTTGGGTAATTTTTCCTTAACAGTGTACTTGCACGATAACTTTGTTAAAGACAGCATAGAGCTCCAGTACTAACTAGAGTGTAAACCCTATGACATCAGGGCCAGGCTTAGTTACCACATTCCCCCAAGTACCTAGTGGTATGCCTGACACATAGTAAGCACTCAGCAGCAAACATTCTTTGAGTGAATGAAGCAGAATTTCTGATGGGCAATAGATCCCTTTGCAATGACTTTCTGGGGTTGGCTGTCAGCAATTACATTATTATAACATAACTTGAGAAAGTTTTGAAGGAAGACCAAATAGGAAATAGCAGCAAGACTGCTTATCCCAGGCTCTGACACCTGCTCAGGAGACACTCAACCTTCAGGCTTCCTTCCAGAAAGCCTTTCTTGAAATAACATGGTTCATATCCCTCTGATATGTCAAGACACTTGACAGTCTTTGTAAATGGAGATAGTGAAGTCTAGAAAAGGGAAGCAACCTTCCCTTGATCATATAGTCCGATAGTGGCAGACCTAGAACTAGAGGCTGGTGTCTGATTATCTGCAGATGACTTCACCAACAGCAACATTCCTTATTGGATCACTCCTGAGTCACTTTATGTAGGGCCTGCTGAAGCAGCCTGCAGTAACCATGTAGAGGGAGTAGGCAGCTCAGGGACTTTGATTCAGCTGAGTGCCGGGCACTGGTAATACAGTCTGGCAATGGCCCCTGCTCTTTATGGCATTCACAGGCTAGTGGGGGCTACATGCAGGTATACTTTTAATGACAATGCATGGACAATCCTAAGAGAGGTACAGGGCACACAAAGAATACTTGGAGTGTCTGCCAGGGCAGGAGACAGATGAGGACAATAGACCCAAGTGGACGGCCATCTTTTTGGTGTACATCTCTCATCCCACAGAGTTAATAAAACTCAAGAGGAACTGGAAGTAGATCTGAGTCTGTGTACCAGGAAAACGGAAACGACCTCATGCCAGGGTGTGCTGTGGAAGCTTGTTGAGTTACACAGTCCCCAGGCCTAGGGGAGGGGAAGCCAAGGGCAGCTTCTAGGAAGACTGAGGAGGCTTTTGGCAAAGAGACAATGGAAGCATGGGGCAGAGTGCTGTGGCCACAGAGTATGTGTATGTACAAGTCTGAACCCGATTCTACATGGTTCAGTCATGCATCTACATCGGCCAAAGAGTTTAAAGAAATATTGATCAGAATGTGTTTTAGGAAGATTACCTTACACAAATGCAAATGGGGAAAAACAGGAGTCTGGGAGAACAACTAGCATGTATTTAAAGCAAAACTTGTCCTGCCTATAATTGATTACAAGCACTTTTATTTATCTCTAGGGAAGAGGCCTCTAAGCAGTCTAATTCAAAAATTCCCTCTGGACAAAGATAAACAGTAGGAAAGGCATGATTAGATAACCATTGCTTGACTGGATTTTTTAAAATGACTGTTTAAGGAATATTAATCTGGTTAAAGGTCCCTGGGCTTCTCCTAAGACTGACATCTTAGTTGGTTCTTTATTTAAGCTCATTAAATAAAGTTTATCACTTATTTTAGCAAAAATGCTCATTTCTCACAGGAAAGAGTTATTAATGAAAATAGACCACAAAATTCTGTTCAGCTAAGGTTTTGCACCATTTTTTCTCACTCATCCCCACAATGAGAGGAACTGCAGGAATCTTTTTCCCTCCTCTTGTTCTGTCTAGATACATGCCCTACTCTTTCCTTATTATGTGGTCTCTATCCATTTAAGAAATTCCATACCTATTTTGTGACAGGCCTTGGGCCAGTGTTGGAAATACAATGGTAAGTGCAAACAGGCAGCCTTATCCTCCCAGGGTTCAGTGTCATTGGGGAAAAGGTATATATGAGAATGTGTATGAGTGTCATGTATAACTACACACAAGTTTAAATTGTAACTATAATTTTGAGCTGTGCTTTGAAGCAAAGGAACAGGATAGGTACTGTCTCAAGGGAGGCCTGTCTCAGACTTTGAAATCAGAGGAGGTGCCTAAGCAGAGGTAACACTTGCACTCACCAGGACAGGGTTGGAGCTAAGGCTGTTCAAAGAACTGATGCAGAGAAGTGCTTGGCCCTGTGGAGGGTGGCAAAGGGCGGGCAGAGTGCAAGAGGTGATGTGAGATGAAGCTGGAGGCTGGGAGGAGACCCTGCCTTTGATCCTTATCTTATGAGAAAGGGAAGCCTTTAAAAGATTTTAAGCAAGGGAGTGAATATGAGAAAGTTGGGAGGACACTTGAAAAAAAACAATCTAGCTGCTCTATCAATGCACAGCATGGAAGAAGAGAGACCAGAAGGCCGTGTAGTCAATACAAGAGAGGACAACAGCTTGGATTATGGAGGTGACAGATCAGTGGCCAGATAAGAGCGATCAAGGAAGTAAAACCTACCAACATGTATTTGGGGGCTCCAAGATTTCCTTGAACCTAAAATTGGTCTTTGATAGGCCAGAGTTTTTACAAGTTTAGCCATGCTTCTGTGATTATTTTTCAAAACATGGTATTGTAATTAATGTTACTTCCCTTAGTAGACAGTCAACTCTCTGAGGGGAAGGTTGCCATGGAGTGGAACTTCTCTCCCATGCAGGGTTGGCCTGAAAGCTATGCATTTATTGGTTGCTCGTGTTCATCTAAGTATGTTTAATTATAAAGACTACATGAGATTCTCCTGTACTTTTCCTTTCTTAGCACTTACAATTTTAAATAGTTATTTGTATAATAATATATTTAACACATCTCTTACTAAACTGTAAGCTCCATAAGGACAGAACAAAGGACAGGGACCAAATCTGTCTTGGTTATTGCTTTACCCCAATGCACTGTAACTGGTGCTCAGTAAATATTTGTGAAAGAATCCTTCTGTTAATTGTTAAATGAAAATTTCAACTGAACATTTACATAGTATTTATTATGTGCCAGTGCCTATTCTTAGCACCTTAAACACAAACACATTTAATCCTTACAATTCCATAAATGTATATATTATAGGTGTCCCTATTTCACTGATGAGGAAACTGAAGCAGGAAGATTAAGTACCTTATTAAGGAAGTCTGAATTATCAAATATAGTTGTACATTCGTTTTAAAACTTAACTGGGTTTTGTCAATGACAGGAGACCGTGCTAGGCCCTGGGGACACCAAAAATCGTGGTTAATAGCTTTTGAGCACCATACATCTGGTTTGGTGTTAGGGGCTTTAGCTAATTTTACTTAAGCCTCACAGTAACTTTGCAAATTAGGTGTCCTTAAATCCCATTTGATTATCATGGAAATACAAGTTTGGCGAGGTTCAGTAACTTGATGAACTCACTAGCTGGTCGGAGTGGGTATTTACGTTCAAGTCCAGCCTCCTTCCCAGGGAAATCCACAGGACCCCGCCCCTCGGCCGGAGCTGGCCCCGCCCGTCCCCCCGCTACGCCTGCGTGTTCGGCGCGTCAGCCTCCGCTCCCGGCTGCGGACGCGCGGCGCGTCTGCGCATTGATTCCACACGTGGACTTGGGCGGTCAGTGCGTCCCGCTGAGCAACGGCACGAAGTCCCTTCAGCGACAAGACCCCGCCACCAGCTTGGTGGCATCCACCCTCTCTATATTGCCCTCCTTTCTCTGTCTTCTCCACCCCAGTGCACATCGCCATGGGCAAGAGCCGGACGAAGCGCTTCAAACGACCTCAGTTCTCTCCTACGGGAGACTGTCAGGCCGAGGCGGTGGCAGCGGCGAACGGCACTGAGGGACAAGAGGACGACGGGCCAGCGGCGGAGCTACTGGAAAAGGTGAGGTGGGCGCGTCGGCCCCGAGAGACAGGCTTCGCGTTGAGCCCCCAGGCAGCGCCGCGCGCCCCTGCGCCTGCGCTCTGCAGGCCCTCTCATACTCGCTCCCGTCCCGCAGCTCCAGCACCCGAGAGCCGAGGTCCGCGAGTGCGCCTGCGCGGGGCTGGCCCGGCTGATGCAGCAGCGACCCGTGCTGCCGGGCCTGGCGCGTCGGGACGCAGTGCGCCGCCTCGGGCCGCTGCTGCTGGACCCCAGCCTGGCAGTGAGGGAGACGGCGGCCGGCGCGCTGAGGTGAGCCGGGAGGCGGGCCATGGAATCCAGCAGCGCCTTCTGTGTGCCAAGCACAATAGCTTATCTCGTTTCCCGCTCAGTGCGCTTGCCTGGGGTATCTCGAGGGGGAAAGGACATATGCAAGAGCTGCCCAGGGTCTCCCATTTGCATAGGGAAGATTTGAACTCAGGGCCCCAGAGGACCCCATGATCCCCAGACTACGCGCATTCCGTCCACCTGGCTGCTTCACCTGCAGCAGCCACCTGCCAAAAGTTTTCCCCTGAAGGCCTGGCGCACTGGTACCCTCTCCAAGAGCCCGCCCAAGGCCCGAGGTTCAGTGAACCTCCATTCCATTGTATGTGCCAGGTGTGTTAAGTGCAAGGGATTTTGAGCAGACAGGACACCGAGCGAGGCAGGCACTATCTCTGCCCTCACAGAACCCATACTGATGAGGAGGCAGACAGGAAACTGATGAACAGGTGAAACATAATAGTAGCTAGTGAGAAGTCCTATGAAGAAAACCGAGAGGATAATGGGTTGGAGGTGGGAAGTTAATTTAAATTGGGTGTTCTCTAGGTGACATTTGTCCTGATAACGGATGAGAGCCAGACATGGAAAAACTGGGAAAGAGTATTGTCAACAAAGGGAACATCAAAGTGAGGCAGCAGGGGGTTTGGCATGGTTAAGGAAAGGTTAGTGTGGCTGAGTAAAGGAGAGGGCATTATAGGAGATGAGAGATGGACAAGGACTGGGTGGTTTAAGGGCCTATTCTCAGCAGGAGCGACATTATCTGATTTACTTTTTGAAAAGGCTACTCTGATGACTGTGCAGAGAATGGACTGCAGAGGGGGCAAGAGTAGTTCTATAGCTCTCTACATCATGTTTTGTTCATTGATTTAGCAAGTATATATTTAGTGCTTACTGTGCATCAGGCAGTGGTCTGGGTTGTGGGCATGTGGTGTGAGCAAGATAGATGTAGCTTCTATCTTTAGTGGATCTTGCAGTATTGAGGGAGATGGGCATTAACCAAATAGTCACAGAACTGTACAATTAACAACCAGTGATAATTACAAAGGGTGCTGTGAGAGGGTATAACTGGGGGTTCAGGGAAAGAAACCCTAAGGGAGGGACGTTTGAGTTGAGATCTGGAAATTAATCGCTTGCTGAAAGAATCAGTGTCTAAGAAGCCTTCCCTTTCTCCCTGAAGCATACACACACTGGAGCTGCTAGGAGTTTGTGGAGGCATCTTCTGATTTATCTTCATATACTCACTGCCTGTACGCTCAGAGGGCAAGCAATGTCTTACCAGTTAAAATTAAACATAGCCTAGTTTCAGGGGATGTCATTCGCAGTAGCCTCATCCTTGCTGCCCTTGAAGTCTTGTTTCCAAGAAAAAGTCTTTTCGTATAAAACCAGGCTGTGCTTTATTCACGTTAAAAAGGAAGTCATCTCTCCTCTCCCCTCCCTATTGCCATGTGTCAGGTGCATAAACTGTCTCAGACCTCAATTACGTTGTTGCATGACAAAGTCATTTGTTTACATCATGAAGAACAAGGATTAGAGCAGGTAGGAATCAGTGGATTTGTTCTGCAGCATTTTACAGAAATCATAATCGCTTTCATCTGGGAAACGTTAGGTATGGTTAGAAATAGAAATATGTGAGCCTAATAGTGCTTTATGACATGTGATCTAAAAGTAAAACATATCTTAAACTTCTTGTGTAGAAATCTCAGTGCTTGCGGAGGTTTTGAAGTTTGTGATGACATGGTGACCAAGGATATCATGACTCCTTTGGTTGCATTGCTGAAAGAGGTATGCAGTTTTTCAATATAGCTTTTAGTATACAAACTTAGATTTTGTTTTTGTTTTTAGTACTTTGGTGTTAGTTATTTTGTCTTCCCTCAAACTATCCTATGGGAATCTTCCTGGAAACACTGATCTGTCAGTCTTACTGTTTTTGTTTCCACTGACTTTATTTATATGCTAGTTGGAAAAGACCTTCCTAAAACTGACTCACTCCTTTAAACTTTAAGTTTCATACAGTAACAATAATTAGTATGTATTATTTGTTTATGTGCCAGGTGCTGTTTTGTGTTCTGTGTATGATTTAATTAGATCCTCACAGCAGTCCTCATTGGCAGGTATTACACCTATTTTACACGTGAGAAAGCTGAGGCACAGACAATTGCACTTTGCCAAGAAGATTGTATCATTGAACATCATGTTGGTTATTGTGTGATGTAGTTCAGGGATTAAGGAGCTCTCTTTGGTGTGCCTCTGGCCCACTATTCTGTATTGATGGGTAATTTACTTAAGATTGTATAAAGAATAACAACTTTTGATGAAAGGCATCAGTCTTGTTTCCTTGAGAGCAGTGATTCTCAACTGGGGGCAGTCTGCCTCATGGGACATATGGCAATGTCTGGAGCTATTTTTGAATGTCAAGGCTTGGGGGCAGTGGGTGCTGCTGGTATGTTCCACCAACTTTGGAACCAGAATACCTGGATCTGAATCTCAGCCTCTCTGTATACTTCAGCAGTCTCCCTATGCCTCAGTTCCCCATTTTGTAGCAAAAGTTGTTCGTTCAGTGTACAGGGCTATGGTAAGAATTAAATGACAGTATATGCAGAGTGATTAGGGTAGTGCCTTGCACAGAGAAGGCACTATGTAGATGTCAGCACTTAATTATGTGTTATGTTTCTTTGCCTTGTTTACTGTCTTTATCACATTAGATAAAATACTTTCTACTGATTTTACATTTTCATCTAAAATGTGAAATGCTTTATATCTAGTTTGTACAATGACTTGTGAACCTTTCTTGTCTATTTCTTTTGCAGGATTGTGGGAACTGTATGCTTATGAGAATTTGATTAGCTTGTTAACCACTGTAATTTCTGATGTTTAGTTTTTGATTCTTCACTATAATTAGCCTTTTTGTGTAATTATTCTTTTGAACCAGGGTGCTAAACATTGATATTTGGTTACAGTGTAGTGCTGGACTGGATTCAAATGAGATGTCTCCACAAGAACAAAAAGATCAGAACAGAAATTATATTGAGAACATAGCCAATGAGGCTGTGAATGTGCTGTGGAATATATGGTAAGATGCTTTCCTAAAACAGCCTCCTGCTTTGATGCTACTCAGGCTTTTGCTCTTTCTTTTAAACTGCAGAGGAACCTCTGTTCTTGTTGGTAGGCATGCAAATCTTTGATGTTAATGCTTGGTAGGAGGTAGTCTTAAAAGTGACCTCAGATCAACCCTCCTTCCCTGACTCTTTTTCCTCACAGCACAGCATCACTACATCTTTCTTGCTCTAACCCTTCTCTCCAGTCATTACTGTTGACAAAAATAAGAGGGATCATGGCCATTATCACCTATTGTGCCCTTTCTCTCCCACATACTTTAAGCAGCAGACAACTGTCTTAAATAAAGCTAGTCAGGCCCCTGTTAATAGCTGCTTTGGCCTGGCATCACCAGTGAGACGGGGGACACAACCCTTGGCTGGTGCTTTCCTCCTCTACCCTGGCAGTTGCCACTTGACAAGGAAGTAGATGCCAAAGAAGAGCTCCAGTAGGAAGAAGGCCAAGCTCCATTCCATGATGCCATGATAGGAGTGGTAGAGTGGACTTGCTGGTACAAATGGTAATGGCTAGAAACACTACCTGGATTTATTTTTTGTCTACCCAATTTTTTTTTTTCACTTCCTAAATTGTTTATTTTGAATTTAGTTCTGGCAATATGGATTTTTTTTTAATTAAGGTATTGATTTACACTCTTACGAAGGTTTGTCTATCCAATTTTATGTCCCATCTTTCTTGCAAGATTCTGTTGTAGTTCCTAATTTTTTTTTTTGAGAGGGCATCTCTCATATTTATTGATCAAATGGTTGTTAACAACAATAAAGTTCTGTGTAGGGGACTCAATGCACAATCATCAATCAACCCCAGGCCTAATTCTCAACAGTCTCCAATCTTCTGAAGCATAACGAACAAGTTCTTACATGGTGAACAAGTTCTTACATAGTGAATAAGTTCTTACATGGTGAACAGTGCAAGGGCAGTCATATCACAGAAACTTTTGGTTTTGATCACACATCATGAACTATAAACAATCAAGTCAGATATGATTATTAATTTGATTTTTATACTTGATTTATATGTGAATCCCACATTTCTCCCCCTCCCCCCTTTTTTTTTTAAATAAAATGCTGAAGTGGTAGGTAGATGCAAGATAAAGGTAGAAAACATAATTTAGTGCTGTAAGAGGGCAAATGTAGATGATCAGGTCTGTGCCTAAGTATTAATCCAAGCTAGACAAGGGCAACAAAACATCCATGGATGCAGAAGATTTCTCTCAGTATAGTTCCTTATTTTTAATGAGCAGTGATTATAACTTCTGGCCTAAAAGCACAGATATTTCTTAGAATACAAGATTAAGTTGTGTCCTGAAAAGTGGCCTACATAGCAATTCAAACTTACCTATGATTTCATTTTAAACTGGTGGGTACATTTCATCAGGAAAATTGAAGAGATCAGATTTGAGGAAATGGCATTTGAGCAAGCTGGTGGGTGCTATTTTTCTGTGCACCAAAAACTCTAACTTACATAAATTGTTGGACTTGGAAAATTTTTTGAAATTCCTTTGAAAAGAGCCTGAAAATGTGATCTCCACAGTGTTCTTTCTTTCCTGAGTGCCTATCGATGTCATTTCTAGTTTTCATAGCTCCTAACATTTTTGTTTCATAATTTATCTCTTTAATTATATTTACACACGTACATATTTTAAATTAACACATGTATTCCTTATCTTCGTGACTCTACCTGACTTCACTGTGGGCTTCTTGAAAGAGGCTTACAGTAGTCTTGCAGTAACTAAGATGGATAGATAGACAGACAGAGAGAATCATTTATCTTTAGGTAACAAGATTGAATTTAATAATTGAGTCAGCTCTGTTAACTTTTAGTGTGTCATGTATATATATGTGGAACAGTACTATTCTCTGGAAACATGGATAAAATTATTATAATTAGCTCTGTTTTCTCTATTTAGTATGTATGTTTATTAATACTGATAACATTAATTCTGAGTCTTATTAGAAGGTAGTGTAAGTTAAAGGTATTTATTATAGTAATTTCTCTTGCAGACTGCAAATTGTGCTTGTTGAAATTATAATAGTCTAGAAAGAATGAATAAGTAAACTTTAATTTTACTGTCTTTTACATTAGTGCTTTTCATATGAGGCCTTTTACTCTTATTTAAACTTACTATTACTGTGGTAGTGGAAAGAACAGTATGCTGGACCCAAGGAGCCATCACTAACAAAATGTGTCATCTTTGCATTGATCACTTCACCTTTTAGGACTTGGGTTTCCTCATCTATAAACTGAGGAGTTGAAGTAAATTACTTCTAAGATCTCATCTAGCTCTGACCTCCTTTAAGGAAACAGGCATGCAACTAAAAAGATTGACTAAAGGTTCTTACTTTGATAGAAATTTTAAAAACCCAGGTAGACAGTTTTGTTGATGTACAAGTGAATGTGAATGGACATTGGTTTCTTCATCTCTAAAAATGGTTGGGTGTTTGATTCCAACTCTGGTTCTTTTTTATAAAGCTTAATTTTATTTTTTCGTGATTTCTGTGGTTGATTTTTTTCCTGTTAAAATGTGAATAGTAAAACTTTTTTTTCCCCCTTCAATTTAGTGAATGCAGTAGTAGAGCAGTGTCTATATTCAACAAAGAAGGGTGTTTGGAGATTGTATTAAAGTATTTAAGTAGGTTTTCCACCAATGTTGACCTGGCTATTTCAGTAGGTAAGTGAAGAAAAGGTGATGGTTTATTAAGTATGTATGGCCTTATTCAAAAATTTTTATTCAGACATAGCATGTTTATTCTACAAGAGTGATTTTTTTTCTCATTATACATCAATGTGTAGCTGAGTTCTGTTTGTTCTCAATCTTTTAAAATCTGTGATTAGTACTTAACTTACTCATATAATTTTCCCACTCTTCACTATGAAAGGGAGGAAGGTAATTATGTGAGTTTATGTCGTTTCTAATATTACCATTCTTAGAAGCCTTGATTATTTCTTGAAGCTTTCATCTCTGATTTACTGAGAAACAGTAACTCAACTATCAGACCTTTGAGCCAGTTAATTGGAATCTCTACCTCTTTAAATGTCTTGTATTATTGTCTCCTACTTCCAACAGAAAACTGATAACCTGTGTTTTTTTTGAGAGAGGAAAATAAGTGATTGGAATTTCACATAGGCCTGCTTCCCTGCTTGGGGACAGGAAGAGCAAAGTTTGGCAGCTTCAGCTGGCTTGGCTCCCTCACCTTCTCTCTGTGGGGTTACAGAGCCACTAGGCAGAGGGAGTCCTAGGCCAGCAAGGTGAGGAGACAGAAACAGGGGGGGTGGATTGCTCAACAGAAATCTGGGAGAATGGAGAGCATTTCTTTTCTGCCCATCATAATGGCAGGCATCCAGATGTCCTTTTATTTAACTGTGAATTTATCCTGGCAAGGACTGATTGTCTTCCCTTTACCAATATTACTCTTGGCTCTAATGGATACTCTTAAGAGAACAGAGGGGAAATAATTGTGAAATAAATGCTACTTGGAAAAATTTAAAAATTAATTTCTCAAAATGGAATCTTTGACCAAGGAGAGATTCCTGAGTAAATGTGGATTTTAAAAACAGTTGAGAAATTGGTAGGTGACTTTTAATCTCAAAGAATAGTTTTTATTACAATAAGAGCAATCAGGAAAGTTAGTTCATAGCTTTTATAAGAAAAACTCACTTCTCTTATTGCACCTTTAGTTTTGTAGATTAAGTTACTTTTATTTTCTCTAACGAACTTTTAAGGGATGGATGAGAATAAAGTGATTTTGCATTGTATAACTGTGTCTTCCTCTTCATTCAGCTAGATTCATCATTTCTTAAACATTTTTTTAAATGTTTTTAAAATGTTAAATCACTTTTCATTTGAAAATCAAACAAGGTTTACATACAATAAAGTGAGCTAAGATTCCATCCTGTGTATTTCTTTGAACTTGTACTGTCTTTATGGTTACTTGTCTTGACTTTCTAAAGTGAATTTTTGCCTTTTAAAAAATTTCCTTTGAATATATGTGTATGTACATATTCACATATGTATATATACATATATACATGTATGAATATACATGTGGATTTGTGTGCAAATACATTTTGGGAACTAATCTAGATCATAGCAGTTGCATGTATTTTGGCTAATGGGCACGATCTACTTTGAAATTCTAGAACAGTATTTGTTTGGAATACAGTATCTCAAAACAAATTTGGGCTTGCTTCCTCTTTTGTGCTTCAGAGGTGTCTTCTGTTCCAAATCTTTCATGTAATCCCAGTTGTTTTATACTTTCAGTTAATTATTTCTAATATGGACGTTGTAATCCATTTTTTTAATGCAAGGAGGAGTTAAGTGTTAAATGGATCATGTGTCTATTAATATTTTACTTGTCCCTTAATTTGCCCATATTTTTATGTAAAGTACTTTTATGTAAAGTATTTTTCCAGAAATAGCCCTAACATTTCAGGGTCATGGTGAATTTAGAAGAAGCCAGAATGTCCCAAAACCTAGGGCTTGTTATTAACAACAGAACTACTCAAAGATGTCTGTGTACTGCTGTTTGATCCACAGACTGCTGCTTGTCTGTGATGAGTACAGAAATTGAGGGTGAGCCTCTATAAATGATAAATGTTTATAGTAATTCCACATTGTCACAACGTTTAAGAGCCTTTTAAATTATATTTTATAAATATATGCTTTTGTGAAGAATTGGAAATAAAGAAAGAAGAAAAAGATCTTTTATAGTACTGATAGTTTGGGAAGCCTCATTTATATGTACCATCCTTGAGAAAAAGCATGTATATCCTACAAAGCTATATGTGTCTGAAGAAGTTGTAAAGATACGAATGTTTTCTGATGAGGTATATTGCTATAAGTTATCCTAGCAGAATTCATTTGTTTCTGAATATTTAATTTTTGTCTTTATAGCCTATTGTTTGCAGACAGTGACAGAAGATAACCCAGACCTACTGAAATCTTTCAGTGCCCCAGCACTGCATGTGCTGGAATCAGCAATGCTATCTCCTGCCAATACCATGGAATACATGCTATTAAAGACATTGGTGGCAGGTAAAATTTAGCCATATATGATAGAGTGTTCTTTTAGTAGCTTGTAATGGGCAGAGATAGGGGCCAAAATTCAATCATTCTCTTATTTTACTACATCAAGGCCTTCCATGCTTATGTTTGTTCTGAAATTTTTAATGTTTAAAAGGAGATCCTTAATTCAAGTGGTTGTGCATAATTGCAAAGCCTTCTGAAGTAGATTTATTTTCAGTTTAACAAACTACTGTTGTCTGATAAAGGAAATGCTATTGTCACGATCCCCTCTTATTTATGAACCAGTGAGTTCAGAAATTGACTGTGGGAATCCAAGACATGACCACTCACTTCTCTGTAAGTTCCTTATCCCCATCTCTTTTCTCTACAAAATGTCTAAATACAAAACTGAGAAATAATCTGATCATCTGTTAAGTAGTAGGTAATTTATACTGTTTCTTTATTTCCTCTTCCCTTTAGCCTTTCAGAAGTAATTTAGCTTGAGAGGGTTTTTTTCAAGTGGTAAAACTCATAAAATTTGCCATCTTAAGCATTTTTAAGAGTACATTTCAGTAGTGTTAAGTACATTCACACCATTGTGCAACCAATTTCCAAAACTCTTTTCACTTTGCAAAACTGGAACTCTGTACCCATCAAACAACTTTCCTCTTCTTCTTCTTCCCAGCCCTTGACAACCACCCATTCTACTTTCTGTCTGTATGAATTTAATTACTCTAGGTGCCTCATCTAAGTGGAACCATGCAGCATCTGTCTTTTTGTGACTGGTTTATTTCAGTTAGTGTAATGTCCTCAGAGTTCATCTATGTTGCAGTATATGTCAGAATTTCCTTCCCTTTTAAGGCTGAATAATATTCCAGTGTATGTGTATAGCACATTTTGTTTATCCATTCATCCATGCATGGACACCTGGGTTCCTCCCACCTTTTAGCTATTCTACTCTGAATATGGGTATACAACTACCTCTTTGAATATCTGCTTTCAGTTCTTTCAAGTAAATATTCAGTATTTTTATTTTAGTAGTCACTGTTTTTTTTTAAATTAGTGTAACTAGTTAATGGTAGCTGCTGTTCTATTTTGATAAACATAAAACCAAGAACCTGCTCTCTAGCTTGTCCAGGAGACCTTGGAATTTTAGTACATTCCATCCACTCTTGGAATATATAAGAAGCTACATAGGAGAAAAGCTCAGGTTAGGACCGAAGAAAATAAGGAACTTAATTTGTCATTTTACGGAAACTTGATCAGTGGTCTGTATCAGAGAAAGTCATGGAGAGTGGCAAGCAAGGGAGATGATTGTGAGGGATTATAATAAAGGGAGCTGCCTTTGCGCCAAGTTTTTTGACATTTACTAGAAACTGAACAAAAGCAGTGGGGTTGAGATTTTTTTGAAATTACACCTAATCTTATTAAAAAAGCCAATCTTGTGGGAACAATATTAAATAAAATTTCACAGGTGATTCCTTTGTCCTTACTCTAATTTTTTCCACAGGCACAATTTGGAATCTAAAGGACATTATTCCATCCAAGAGTCAAGCAGAAATCATAAATGCCATACTAAAGATCTTATCTGAAGTCTTGGAAATGGATGCTGGTGAAACAGTTATTAAAATGAAGGAGGCTGAAACTCAAAGGTTAAAAACTGCTGCAGAGACTGAGGAAATATTGGACAATGTGAATAGGGATGATTTGATTGAAGATGATGAAATGGAAGAAATTCCTCAGAGAAGAAAAGTCAGAAGGAAAACTTTCATGTCAGATTTACTTCCAGTAAGTCAGATTGATGCTTTCAAATTGGATTAATACAGCTATTTTCTTTCAAAAAATATCCTTTGTGGAAAAATATTAGAGCAAAATTAATTATAAGGTGAATTTTTGGTAAAAATCAGTCATGTTTTCCCATTAACTCAGTAGAAACATAGAGCCATCTTCATAAGTTGGGTCTTCCCACTGCAGTTACACACTGTTTCCTACATTATCTTACTTTGCTAGATTGTCCCTTTCATTCTCATGTCTTTTATTTTAGTATTTAACCAAACCAAAGTAGCAAACCAAACCTTCATTTACCCACTAATGCTGAGCAGAGAAGGTTGGGTGCTTGTAAGACTCAGTGGTCGTTCATAGTTTTTGCAGACTGGATGGCTGTGACACACTTGTGCTAGTGGAGTGGGACATTGGGGTAAGGGTGAGCAGTCTTGGGTGCAAGAAACATTTCAGCTGAGCCAGTCAGCAGAGATGAGGCCATAATGTGGGAAAACATTTCTGCCCAGGAGGAGGGCCAAGTAGTCGGGAAGACAAGGTCAGTGAGTTGGGCTTTATTCCTTGAGGTGCACATTTTCTGTGCTCCTGCTGTATGCCAGGCACTGTGCCAGATGCTGATGAAAGATGATTAAGATATTTTTCCTGTCTTCAGGGACCTTTTCCACCTCGGAAGGGCAGACACATAATTAAAATTTATTATAATGCCTGTGCTTATAACAGTGATAGGACTGTGCACAGATTTCTGAAGGAGTAGTTTCCACAGAGTAGGCATACCAGCCTGAACCCAGATGGGAGAGGAAGGAAGAGGCCTGAAGAGAGAATGCTTTTTTGGGTAGAACTCCTGGGCTGCCTTAAAGGCTGGGGTTAGAAACAACATGGTGAAACAGGTTAATGTTTAAGGAGCCTGGAGGCAGGAAGACTTGTCAAGAGGCTGCTAAAGTCCTTCTGAAGAAAATGACCATGCCAGAACTGGAAGAATGCTGTTAACGTACATAACAGTACAGTAGTCCCCCTTATCCACAGTTTCAGTCACCCACAGTCCACTTCAGTCCAGAAGCTGATGACCCTCCTCCTGATGGTCAGCAGTAGCCTCACACTACGTCACAGTGCCTGCATCATCCGCCTCACTTCATCTCATCACGCAGGCATTTATTTTATCGCACAACATGACAAAATGAGTGAGTACAGTGCAGTAAGATATTTCAAGAAAAAGACCACATCCACATATCTTTTACTACAGTATATTATAATTGTTCTACTTTATTATTGTTATCTCTTAAAATGCCTAATTTATGAATTAAATGTCATAGGTATATACATACAGGAAAATACATAGTATATATAGGGTTCAGTACTATCTGCAGTTTCAAGCATCTACAGGGGGCCTTGGAAGCTATCCCCTGTGGGTGAGAGGGGACTGCTGTATACTGTTTTCTTTCATTCACAAAGCCTTGTAAAGTATGAATTGGTGATGTTTTAAATACATCAAAATGTTGTAGTTAGAACTACTTTCCAAACCCCTGTGAACAGCTGTTAGTTAGTTAGATGCAGAGCATTATATTATGTGCTGGGGTGAATACAAAAATGAGAAGGCCATCTTGCTCTTGAGTTGCTTGCAAATCATAAAATGGCTTAAAAAATCAATTATCACCCCCCCTTTTGGTGCAAGGGTACACATATTTGAATCCAAGATTTATTCCTTGTCTCATTTGTGCATCTGAGTCAGAGTTGAGTAGAATTTAAAATCAGGAAAGCAAGATAGACAAAGGCATAGCTATGCACCTCATCCTCCCAAAGGAGTGCTTATGAAGAAGCCTGACAGCATTACCTCTCCAGCTGTCACTGGAAGGATAATGTATAGATCTGGGATGTACATGGTTTCATAGCCACATGTGGAACATACCAGGTGACGGATTGGGGTTTCGGGGCTCTTCTGCAGCTGTTGACATTGCCCTAACTTTATCCTGCCTGGTGCATGAATACCCTGTTTTACCACTCCGAATTCCTGTCAGAGTAGAAGCTGAAATTATGGCTGGACTGTCAGGGAACCCTGAAATGTCTGAAGTCCCTTGCATGGAATGGGAGAGCGGCACTCCTGAGTATTTTCCACATGTCCAGTTTTCTTCCAAGGGGCTTCTAAAGGAATTAAGTGGGGACTGAGATCAACAAGTCTTCCAAGATTAAGTGCCACTGTTTAAAAAGTATCAATATTTAACTTATTTAGAGATTTCTTTTGTAAGTATTACTTAAAAATAGAATTTTGCTGCTTATAAAATGAAGTGTTTTCATAACAAAAGCTTGTTTTTTAAAGTCTATTAACATAACTGAGTAGACTGGATGATTAACATGCTGCTCAGTCCACCAATATGTAAATGCCAGTAGGGTGCTAGGCATTATGCCAATTCGTGCCAGGAATTCAAATTCTTAGTCAGCTCTGGTCTTTCTCACTCCCAGTGGCTTGGGCACGAGTCCTTTAGGATCAAAACCTTTCATTGCTTCATTTAACTTAAGGTATAACCACAAATGTGAAAGAACTAACCCAAGTTGTTGTTTTAACATACGCTGAAGTAGAGTACTCCTTACCCAGCTTCCGTGGTTATCAATTATCAAATCATTGTCTGTTTTGTTTCATCTGTTTCCTAACCCACTCTCCCCTTTCAACTACCGACAGTTTTGAAGCAAATCACAAATGTTGTAACATTTCAGCTAGATTGGTTCTTTATCTCAGTTTGATAACAATAAGAAGCAGGGAAATATTCTGAGCAGGAGTTATATAAGGAAGTTTTGAACTTCATTTCAGAATTCTTCTAAGCCAAATCTCGACACGTTTTAGGTAGATGAGAGCCCAGCAACAACTTGTCTTATTTAACTTTGAGTCTAAGAAATGTTTTTTTAGTTGACTATCATACACATACAAAACAAATAGGAATAATTTTTATGTACATTCTTGCCAGCAGTAAAAGGAATACAAATACAGGGATTCCTAAACTACATCTTATTAAATTGAGATTTTTTTTTTTAAGAACATGTTTAGAAATTACAGTTAATTGTTGCACAAGGAAGTTGCTGGAAGATTCTAAATGAGTATAGACATTTTGGAAAGGAAAATTGGAATTTGTCACAGGATCTGTATATAGATGTGTTTTTAACCACTGACCCAGTAAATCTGAAGAAATAAGACATCCAAGTATTCTAAAGTATTCCACACTAGTGAAATGCTTAATAAATATCAGGGTATCCATTCAGTGGAATTTTGTATAGCCATTAAAAAGGCAATTAGAAAACTTGAAATTGAGTAACATTCAAACAATAAAATATGCATTATTTTTAGCTTATGCATTATTTTAGAATATCAGTGTACCTATTTCACTTTCCATAGGTGACTTGAGAATTAAGGTTATATAAATTTATACAACCAATTTTGACAATGTTAATTGGTAAGTTCATGTTACTTATATCCAAAGAAAAAAGTTATCCTTTCTTCAGTCTTAAAGAAATACTTTACATCTTCAAAGAAAGCCCAGAAGCAAGCTTAACTGTTTCTTAGTCAAGCTCTGTTGGTCATATAAGGGCTTGTTAATAATTCTCGTTAGTGCGGTCTTTTCCAAGAAGACATCAAAGCATCTAAAGCCCGTTCATTGTGTCTAAGTGCTTAGTGTCTGAAATGAACTCTTGTTTTAATTTTAGTATGCTGAGTTACTTACTAACACATTAGATTAAATTTCAGGGTGAATTCAGTTCAGGATTCCTGAATCTTTATCTCTTCAGCTAACTCAGCAACACTTAGAGACTAGCTAGCTATGCAGACAGATGGAAACCCAGTTACAGTGGCATGCTCCACAGTGCCAAGAGGAATCGTAATGCTTGTTTATACTTTCAGCACTTTATGACTTCTCTTCTGCCTACCCTACCCCCATACACTCTCTCCAAGTGCAAAAACATCCAGTAGCCTTAGACTAAGGAAATTCAAGTGAAAATATTCTCCTAAAATTGAAAGTTGGTTTGATGTTTATTTTTTAGCCCACTGACAAGGAACTGAGAGAGACTGTAGCATTCCTGACGGCTCAGCAGACTGCTCTGGAAATTATCGTCAACATGTGCTACAGTGAAGGTTTGTCACCAGTTTACATTTAGACATTTTCCCCCTGGACTGACAGGGCAGCTTTCATGAAGACTTTTTAAATATTCAGTTATGTGTGATTTGCACTCTTCCCAGATCCCACTGATGATGAGTGGGAAGAGCTATCTAGCAGTGATGAAAGTGATGCATTTATGGAGAATTCCTTCAATGAATGCAGTGGGCAGCTGCTATCTCCCCTCTGCCTTTCCCATGAGATTCACACTGCTCTCACCAACTACCTCATCCCAAAGAAGGTAATCTGTTCAGTCTGTGCTCATGGAGCATGGGAAAGGCTTAAGAAGGCTGTTCTTCTGTATGCAAAAGAAGTGTCACACTTCCAGGTTGTAGGTAATTGTTAAGGTCTGTATAACAAAACCAAATTAACAGTCCTGGAAGTAGGCTGGAAAGTATCTTTATCAAGCCTAACTATTTCACTTAGAGGTAATACATAAGGATTCTATAAAAGAATCATGTGTAATATGACTCTACTCTTTAACCTTTGCTTTACTGCCCCTTTTTTAAACCTAGATTTTTGAGAAAACTGCCTTTCCAAACATCACTGCAGTTGACATATGTTCTAGGACCCCCACTTGGAAGCCTTTGATTAGAAAGTAAGAACTTTTCTATTTTCAAAATAATTTGTCAGTATGTTACCAAATGAAATGATGGACCATAAATAGAAGATGCTGACACCAACCCCCCTCCCCCCGATTCAGGAGTTCTATTCCTGTGTATATTCCCTACAGAAATGTATGTACACTATAAGACATGTACACTATAAGACATGAGAATGTACATAGCAATGTGGTTCACAGTTTCCCCAACCTGTAAACAACTTCAATGTCCATCAGCGGAGGAACAGATATATTTTGACATAATCATGAAGTAGAATACATACAGCAATAAAAAGATTTTGAACTAGAACTGCTCACAACATGGATGAAACTAACAACATTGAGCAAGAAAGCAAGCCACAAAGAGTATACCCACTGTGATGTAATTTTTACGAAGTTCAAAAAACAAGTAACAGACTACTTTGTTCAGGTATGCATACATGTGATAAAGCTATAAAGGGAAGCAGGGAAATGTTTACTATAAAAATGTGGATAGTGGTGACCTTTAGGGGACAGGGAGGTAGAGTGTGAGGGTGCCAGCCATGTTTTTTTCTTTCCTAAATCCATGGGCATTTACTTTATGAACTATTTGTTAAACTCTGTATATGCATTGAGCACTTTATGTATGTCATATTTCACAATTAAAAATAATTTTATTAGTTCAGCCATTGTGGAAAGCAGTATGGAGGTTTCTCAAAAAACTAAAAATAAAAATACCACTTGACCCAGGAATTCCACTTATAGGAATTTACCCTAAGAATGCAGGAGCCCAGTTTCAAAAAGACATGTGCACCCCTGTGTTTATCGCAGTACTATTTACAATAGCCAAGAAATGGAAGCAACCTAAATGTCCATCAGTAGATGAATGGATAAAGAAGATGTGGTACATATTCACAATGGAATATTACTCAGCCATAAGAAGAAAAATCTTACCATTTGCAACAACATGAATGGAACTAGAGGGTATTTTGCTCAGTGAAATAAGCCAGGCGGAGAAAGACAAGTATCAAATGATTTCACTCATCTGTGGAGCATAAGAACAAAACAAAAACTGAAGGAACAAAACAGTAGCAGACTCACAGAACCCAAAAATGGACTAACAGTTACCAAAGGGAAAGGGACTGGGGAACATGGGTGGGAAGGGAGAGAAAAGGGGAAAAGGGGGCGTTATGATTAGCACACATAATGTAGGGGGGTGGGCATGGGGAAGGCAGTATAACACAGAGAAGACAAGTAGTGATTCTATAGCATCTTACTATGCTGATAGACAGTGACTATAATGGGGTATGTGGTGGGGACTTGATAATGGGGGGAATCTAGTAGCTCATGTAAGTGTATATTAATGATGCCAAAATAAATAATAATTTTAAAGATACTTCCATGCATAGAAATTTTTCTGATGCAGATTCTTTATGACTCATAAATGTGTGATGCCACAGAGGCCTTGAATGTTCAAGCAATTTGATTTAATAGATTAATAGTTCACCTAGGATTCTTTGCTACCTGCCCTAGACCTCCTTACAGATATTCCCAGTCAGAACGTGCAGTTAAATGTTAATCCTGAATGCTATTGGATAATTTCACTGCCTTTCCAGAATGAACACTATACAATGTAGAGCTCTCGTGTGTCTCCAGAGTCTTGTATCTCTCCTGGATATGGACCATCTGGGAGGATCTACAGCCCTTCAGACACTTGCACAGCATCTCTCACAGCTGCTCTTTTCTCAGCCAGGTAAATATTTAGGCCTTATTGTAAATGACCACTAGATGGAGCAAACTTGTGAAGGGCCAGGAACTTGGACTTTGTCATGTTGATTGTTGTCTGTAGAAACCTTTCCAGCCACTAACAGTCATATGTTTATAGTTTCCACTGGTAGAAAGTCAAAACAAGGTATACAGGTAGGTAGGTCTCTGGGTTATATTTTTCTTTTTTATTAGAAGTGCTTGCATCCAGTTATGTCAGGCCAATGAAGGCTGACTCACAAATAAAAATGTTAGGTCTCATTAAGACTTAAGTAATTCTCTATTCTTTATTTTTCTTTTTAAATATAAAACCGCTCAACTTACATTTGATTGGGTAGTACATATATGTATTACAGAATCCACAAGTTATTAGACTATGTGTAAAGTGGAAAGCCTCCCTCCTCACTCCACCCCATTCCTCTCCCACAGTCAGTCATGTTACAGGTTTCTTGTGTATTCTTCCAGAGAGATTTCTGTATGTATGTGTGTTCCTAAGGCAAATCGTAGACTACCATACACACAGTTCTACACCTTTCTTTTTTTTAGACACCTTTGCATGGTTAAGAGCTGAATCTCTAAGTTACACGTCTCTGATATGGGTTAATTTCATTGGTACACAGAAACCTCGAGCGAATACTATATGTAGCTAACTATTCTTTTTAAATAACCTATCCGTATAGGGTTTAATATATGCCCTTCTAACATATTTTCATAATTCATGGCAGACTTGTAAAGTGGAAAGTTACAGATATTCCCAGTCAGAATCTGAAGCTTAGGTTAAATGTTAATCCTGAATGTTGTTGAGTAACTTAGAGAAATAGCATTCTCTCACTGCCTTTCCAGAATGAACACTATACAATGTAGAGCCCTTGTGTGTCTCCAGAGGCTTGTATCTCATTTAACTTGGCCACATTAAACTGTAGGAGTTCAAACAAACAGAAAAAGAGACTGAGAGAGAGGAAAAAGCAGCATCTCATGTAGAAAGGGGAATTCTTCACATTACCCAGCAAGCATCTGGAGTGAGAGTATTAATAGATGAATCTGCTATTCTCTCACCTCTTGAAGTTCAGAGTGTCCTCAGATTTTTTTAGGGTAATCTTGAAGGTACACAGTCCTTGCTTTCTGCATTAACTTTAGAACCTAACCACCAAATAAGATATAATTCCACTGTATTATTCATATATTTCATGGAAAGCTGATTAACATTTCCTCTTCTAGACTCAACCTTAAGTCCAAGAGCTGAAACTCTTAAAAGATGAAAATATGGTGGCTTTTGACTAAATACAAGTTTCTGTATAAACGTTCATTCAACAGTTGGTCCTCAGTTCTTTAGACATCTAATTTGTACTCTACCAACTTCATAAGAGGTGCTGTGTGTATAATGGCATGTAATTTTAAAGTTCTAGATGAATTTTTTTTAATTAAGTAAATGTTCAGAAACTCACATGTTGTTACTGTTCTGTCTCTACCAACCTTTAAACATTTTTTAGTTAACAGATGTTGTTTTAAGTGATCTCAGGCTGTACATCTCTAGCTGGTGTGATCACAGGAAAACTATGCCTAGCCATGTCTGCAACAGGATGTGAGCAATGCTAGCCCTATTCCCATTCTAAGCCTGGGCAAGCTCTGGAGAAAAGAGGTGGCTTGTCAGTGTGAGCTGGCCAGATGATGACTAGCTTTGTATTTCTCTCTGGGCCTATGAACCTGGAAGAGATCTGGATGGCATGGAGGGTAGGGGAAGTTTTATTTGACTTTTGCTGGCATTCTGGCTCCGGTCAGCCCAGCAGCATATCCCTTGGGGAAAGGGAGGGGCTGCTATTGCTCATGCCCACTCCCAAGCACCCATTCCCTGTGTTCCCTGCAGAATGCAGAGCCAAAGAGGCATCCATATTCAGGCCCCCTGGTGAGCAGGACCTACCTAAGCATCTTACTGCTTGCAGGGCCTGCCTAACTTGAGGGAACCCTGTCTATCCTAGTTCAGCAAGCTGCCATCTCTTCATTCTGGGCCATTTCTTAGTGAGAGTTCTGTCAAGGTACCACAAGCCCCATCCCTAACCAGTATGAAGAGTTTATTTCGCTTGAAGTAAATGCACACATTCTGCATGCTATACAGAAAATACCTAGATGTGTGTCTTCCAGTTTAGCTTGCTATTTGTGGTCACTAATGCCTGCACATTTATTACCTGGGAAAGATCACAGGAAACCAGACCAAGATGAGCCTTGGAGAAATAATGGGAAGTTTCTGAATTATGGGAAAACATAATTCAACACTTTGATTTTAAATAAATTCCAATTTTGTTGCTATTGCTGACATAACCTTTTCTTACCAGAATGAAAGTTTTGATTAAGGATGATCACTTATATTTACAGATGACATTCTAGTAGCCCTTCTAAACTTTTGAGATTTATTAAATAATGTAATCCTATGTGTTCTGTATGGATAGTGTGAGTTGCTATTGGAGAATTGGGTGAATTGGACTGAATTTTTCTAACATTTTTGTATTACCATGCCTAAAAGTTAAAATGTATGAGGATCAGAGAGTTCTATCTAACTTGTTTTAAATCTAATGCTAAAGTGCAGGCCTGAATGATTATAAAATTTGTGATACATATCTATATTATATTTGTAGCTGATATTAGAGATAAAAGGAGAAAGTTTTTAGTAGAATCTGGTCCTTGCTTTCAAAACATTAATATCTTTGTTGCCTACATTAAAACTGTTGACCTTCAAAACATCAAGAAATTTTTAGCAATGTTATATTTTCAAATTGGGTCAGTCTGTCATTTGCTCCCATTACATGGGTTCTAAAATCAGTTAGGATTCCCTGTTTTGCTAGATTTGGGGAAGCAGATGTTTAAAAATCAGTAAAAAATTTACCTAAATATAATTTGCTGCTTGATTACTTGTGAGCTTATTATTTACCTACGTTTAGGCATGCTACAAATTTTTAAATACTGTATAGAATTGTTAAGGGAAAATACTTTGATTCACCTCTTAACTTTTTTTGGCATTTACTTAATTTCTTTGACAATGCCATGTGTGTTGGCCTGTTACTGAGGATTTGTTGGAAAGACAAGGTGGTTTGAAATTCCTTTCCTAACGTTGGGTAAATGACTAGAAATGTGAATTAAATCAAAATTGCCCAAATGTTTTTCTTAATTTAGGGGAAGTATGAATTACACATACATAACAGTACTACCGTTTAGATGAGGGTTTTGAATCTAAGGTAATGATTATTTTCCTAAGAGTGGAGGACAGAAAAAAATAGATTCTGAGATGTGTTCTAGTTTGTATTTAGTTCTTCATAACATGGTTTAGTTGTTTTTTGTGCAGTTAATGAATTTCTAGGGCTACACTTGTGTCTGTCTGTAATCCAATATAAATATAACTTACTTTACAGAGCTAGTATGGTGACCTTTTGTAGCTTAATAATAATAGTTATATATCAGTTTTGAGTGCTTGTTAGGTACTAAGTTTTATGAACAGGGTATTATTATTCTACCTTCCTGATGTGGAAGCTGAAGTTTAGAGCAGTTGAGGAACTCCTTCAGGGCCATTCCTTTCAGCACACATTTATTGAACACTTACTTTGTGCCATGCACTGTTCTAGATCTGGAGCATACAGGTGTGAACAAGACAGGCAAGGCCACCACGTTCATGGAGCTTGTATTTTCATATAAATACAAATTTAATGTAATTCCGGCTAGGAAGAAAAAAATAAAAGCAGAATGGTGTGAGGTGCCACATTAGGCAGCGTAGTGTGGACAGGCCTTGCTTGTGGTAACATTTGAGCAGAGACCAAAATGAGGGGTCATATAATGTCAAAGGCAGGGTTCCTTCCCAAGTCTGTGGCTCTTAAAGCTATCCTAGTGTCTGCTCTTTGATACTTACAGGAATTCCCTACTTCTGTACATAATGCACATCTGAAAATGAGTGAGCCAAAAATACAATAAACCTTGATTCAAATTGGTGCAGAGGCTGTCTTGCTCTTTTGCAGGCAGCCCGTAAAGGGACATCAGAATCTTTATAGGGCCCCAGGCACCATGGGGCAGAAAGCCAAGGTATCTATTGCTATATAACAAATCACCCCAAAGCTTTATGTCTTAGAAAGACAATAATCATGTGTAATTTCTCATGGTTTCTGCAGTTCAGGAATTTAGGCAGGGCACAGTGGTGTGGAGATGGTTTGTCTCATCTCTGCAGTGTTTAGGCCAGTGGTTCTCAACCAGGGGCAGTTTTGCCCCTTGGGATATTTGGCAATGTCTGGGGGCATTTTTTTGTTGCTACAACTTGGGGTTTCTTCTGGTATCTAGAGTGTAGAAGCCAGGATGCTGCTAAATATCCCACAGTGCACGAGGACCCCACACACACAATGAAGAATTATCTGGACCAAAGCATCCATGAAGTTGAGAAACCCTAGCCTTTGCTGGAAAACAAGGAGCCAGAATCTCATCTGAAGTCTTGTTCATTCACACGTCTGATAGCTGGTGTGGGGACTGTCAGCCAGAACATCCACAAGTGACCTCTTTCTGTGACCTGGGCTTCCTCATAACATTGAGGCTGGATTCCTAGGGCAAGAGTTGAGAGAGAGAAGAAAGTAAATACACGTGAGTCAGGCGGAAGTCATGTCAAGTGTTCTGTTGGTTAAAGAAGTCACAAAGTCCCACCCAGATTCAAGGGGAGGGAAATAGATTAAATATCCTTGTGGGAAGTTGGCTAGGTTCTAGAAGATCGTGCAGAAGTGGAAATACTGTTGTAACTATTTTTGGAAACTATAATCTGCTATAGCAAGTCGGTTGCTTTCCATTCCCACCAAAGGGGTTAGGGAACCAGACTCACCTGGGTGACCCTCACCCTTCTGTGTGACTGGGTTAGCATGATTATTTATTGCTCTTGTTTTGTTGGTCCTATGTGTGAAGAAGGGACTATAGGAGTAAAAATGAGCAGGAGTGGGAAGAGGAAGTTGGGTCAGTTAAAACAATAGAAGCCACTGAAAACCTTAGAGGCCTGTAAGCAGCAGTTCTGGTCAAGGTTGTGGTTGGGATTGGCGGGGAATCACTCTGATTTGGGAGATGGCTACATCTGAGGTCTGTCCCGCACCGAGAGGGCAATCTGAAATCAGAATTCAGTCCAGCTAGCTCAGGCTTATCACTCATTACAGTGCAAGTTAAATGAAAATCCAACATCTGGACATCCAGGGCTGTCTGTGCAGCACTCCCTTGTGATTATTTCACTCATGGTTGTCTGTCAGACTTGAGTGAACAGTTCATAGGGGACTGTGAGCTGGAAGTTGTAGCTCAAATATCGAAGGTGCTTTTCCTGTAATAGCATATTTTAACATTAACATGCTTTGTTTTGATTCTGTTTCTTTTTCTACAAAATAACTTGTCTTAGAGAAAGGCAAATTTCTATTTCACTTTTATATTTTAGATTTTGCTAAGCATGTTGACTTTCTGGAAGCCATAAGTAGTGCCTTGAGGGCCCTTTTGCAGACAATGGCCTCCAAAAACATATCTCAGGTAAGATTTTTAAAATTTTTAAGTGAAACTACCAAAAATTATGTATTATGGAAACAAAATTCATTCCTTAACCATTTTAAAGTATTTATTACAAGAATAATGCATGATCCCCCTAAAATGAAAACGAAAGCGTTTATAATAAAAAGTAGAATATTCTCCTTCCTGCTACTACCACCAAACACACACACAAATTTTTATTGATAGGACTATTTGACATATCTGTTGAAAATAGTTTCTCTGAATGTCATTTGTCTTTAAAAAATATTTTATTATGGAAATTTTCAGGGATGCCCTCCTGACCACCCACAGTGATCCATCTGCACGTCTGTGATGAGTGCATTATCACTCTTACTTTGTACTTTTTATTAAGGGAATTTTCAAACGTTCCTAAGAGCAGCAATAACAGTATAATGAGCCTGCCTGCACCATCACCGAGTGTCAGCAGGTTGTCAACATGTGTCATTCTTGTTTCGTTCATCCTCCCTACTTTCTTGCTTTTGCTTCCTGAAGTAGTTTAAAGCAGATAAACTCATTTCATCCATAAATACTTTATTATGTGTTTCAGTTTGTGTTTGTGACAGAAAATGAACTTTTTAAACAACCACAGTACCATTACCCCAGGCCCCCAAATTAACAGACATTTCTTAATTATCATTTGATCTGCAGTCTGAGTTCAGTTTTCCCTGATGGCCATAAAAATGTCTTTTTCAGTTGGTTTGTTCACATCAGAATCTAAGCAAGATCCACACATTGCTTTCAGCTGATATTTTGGCCACTTAGGTATTTTTTTTTCAAACCACTTAATGAGATTTAATTATTTTACCATACTACTCACCCATTTAAAGTGTGCAATTTAGTTTTTAGCATATTCAGGGATTGTTCGATTTCTTAATCTATAACATTTCCTCTACCTACCTCCCTTCCCACATGCTGTTTACTCACTGAAGCAGCCATCATTTGTCCTGTAGGATTTTTCTCATTCTCAGGTTTGGCTGGCTATCACAGTGGTATTGTTTAGCATGTCCCTCCATCCCCGTATTTCCTATAAATTGGGAGCTGGGTCTAAATTAGATTCAATCAGGATCACATTTTTGGTAAGACTAATTCATAGTGCTATCTGTACATATTTTCTACTTTAATATCACAAGTTGTATATTATAGCAAAGTAGTACTGTTAATATTAATCAGTGGATTCACTTAATGGTTCTGGCAAACCAGTAATTATTATTGTCTAGATCCATAATTTCATGAAGGGTTGCATCATTCCTTTTACATTTATTAGCTGTGTTTCTTCTACAAATCAGAACTTTCTGTTGCATCTCTTATTTGGTGACTTAGAAATAAAATTCATAACAAAAAATAGCAGGATAAGTATATGAGTCTCCCCTACCTTTTTTCCAGAGTAATGATTGATGTCTTAGTAGTCTGCAAATGTGACCAATGAGAGTTTTATTTATTAAGGTATCATTGATACACACTCTTATGAAGGTTTCACATGAAAAACATTATGGTTACTACATTTACCCATATTATCAATTTCCCCCCGTACCCCATTGAAGTCACTGTCCATCAGTGTAGGAAGATGCCACAGAGTCACTACTTGTCTTCTCTGTGCTATACTGTCTTCCCTGTGACTCCCCCCACACCAAGCATAATATGCCTCAATCCCCTTCTCCCTCCCTCCCCAGCCACCCTCCTCCACCCCTCCCCTTGGATAACCACTAGTCCCTTCTTGGACTCTGTGAGTCTACTGCTGTTTTGTTCCTTCAGTTTTGCTTCGTTGTTATACTCCACAAATGAGGGAAATCATTTGGTACTTGTCTTTCTCTGCCTGACTTATTTCACTGAGCATAATACCCTCTAGCTCCATCCATGTTGGTGCCAATGGTAGGATTTGTTTCCTTCTTATGGTTGAAGAGTATACCATTGTGTGTATATACCACATCTTCTTTAGCCATTCATCTACTGATGGACACTTAGGTTGCTTCCATATCTTGGCTAATGCAAATACTGTTGCAATAAACATAGGGGTGCTTATGTCTTTTTGAATCTGAGAACTTGTTTTCTTTGGGTAAATTCCTAGGAGTGGAATTCCTGGGTCAAATGGTATTTCTACGTTTAGTTTTTTTAGGAACCTCCATATTGCTTTACACATGGTTGAACTAGCGTATATTTCCACCAGCAGTGTAGGGGGGTTCCCCTTTCTCCTCTTCCTTGCCAGTATTTGTTGTTCTGAGTCTTTTGGATGCTGGACATCCTTACTGGTGTGAGGTGATACCTCATTGTGGTTTTAATTTGCATTTCCCTGATAATTAGCAATGTGGAGCATCTTTTCATGTGCCTGTTGTCCTTCTGAATTTCTTCTTTGTAGAATTGTCTGTTCATATCCTCTGCCCATTATTTAATAGGGTTATTTCCTTTTTGGTTGCTGAGGCATGTGAGTTCTTTATATATTTTGGATGGTACCCACTTATCGGATATGTCACTTACAAATATATTCTGCAATACTGTAGGATGCCTTTTTGTTCTACTGATGGTGTCCTTTGCTGTACAGAACCTTTTTAGGGATATGTCACTTACAAATATATTCTGCAATACTGTAGGATGCCTTTTTGTTCTACTGATGGTGTCCTTTGCTGTACAGAACCTTTTTAGTCTGATGTAGTGCCATTTGTTCGTTTTTCCTTTTGCTTTCCTTGCCCGAGGAGATGTGTTCAGGATCAGATGTTGCTCATGTTTATATTCAAGAGAGTTTTGCCTATGTTTTCTTCCATGAGTTTTATGGTTTCCTGACTTACATTCAGGTCTCTGATCCATTTCGAGTTTACTTTTGTATATGGAGTTAGACAGTAATCCAGTTTCATTCTCTTACATATAGCTGTCAAGATTTCCTAACACCAGTTGTTAAAGAGTCATTTCCCCATTGTATATCCATGGCTCCATTATCATTGACCATATATGCTTGTGTTTATATCTGGGCTCTATTTTCTGTTCCATTGATCTATGGGTCTGTTGTTGTTCCAGTACCAAATTGTCTTGATTACTGTGGCTTTGTAGTAGAGCTTGAAGTCGGGGAGCGTGATCACCTCTCCTTTATTCTTCCTTCTCAGGATTGCTTTGGCTATTTGGGGTCTTTTATGGATCCATATGAATTTTAGAACTATTTGCTCTAGTTCATTGAAGAAATGCTGTTGATATTTGATAGGGATTGCATTGTATCTGTAGATTTCTTTAGGCAGGATGGCAATTTTTATTTAATATTAAGTTATTGATATACACTCTTATGAAGGTTTCACATGAAAAAACAATGTGGTTACTACATTTACCCTTATTATCAAGTCCTGACCCATACCCCAATACACTCACTGTCCATCAGTGTAGAAAGATACCACAGATTGACTGTTTGCCTTCTCTGTGCTACACTGTTTTCCCTGTGACCCCCACACCATGTGTACTAAACGTAATACCCCTCAATCCCCTTCTCCCTCCCTCCCCACCCGTCCTTCCCCACCCCTCCCATTTGGTAACCACTAGTCCCCTCTTGGAGTCTGTGAGTCAGCTGCAGTTTTGTTCCTTCAGTTTTGCTTTGTTGTTATACTCCACAAATGAGGGAAATAATTTGGCACTTGTCTTTCTCCGCCAGGCTTATTTCACTGAGCATAGTATCCTCCAGCTCCATCCATGTCATTGCAAATGGTAGGATTTGTTTCTTTCTTATGGCTGAATAGTTTTCCATTGTGTATATGTACCACATCTTCTTTATCCATTCATCTACTGATGGACATTTAGGTTGCTTCCGTATCTTGGCTATTGTAAATAGTGCTGAGATAAACATAGGGGTGCATATGTCTTTTTGAATCTGAGAACTTGTATTCTCTGGGTAAATTCCAAGAAGTGGGATTTCCGGGTTGAATGGTATTTCTATGTTTTAGTTTTTTGAAGAACCTCCATATTGCTTGACACAATGGTTGAACTAGCTTACATTCCCACCAGCACTGTAGGAGGGTTCCCCTTCTCCAAATCCTCACCAGCATTTGTTGTTCTTAGTCTTTTCGACGCTGGACATCTTTACTGGTGGGCAGTGACATCTCATTGTGGTTTCAATTTGCATTTTCCTGATGATTAGTGATGTGGAGCATCTTTTCATGGGCCTGTTGGTCATCTGAATTTTTTCTTTGGAGAATTTTCTCTTCATATCCTCTGCCCATTTTTTAATTGGGTTATTTGCTTTTTGAGTGTTGAGGCATGTAAGTTCTTTATATATTTTGGAGGCTAACCCCTTGTCAGATATGTCATTTACAAATATATTCTGCAATACTGTAGGATGCCTTTTTGTTCTGTTGATGGTGTCCTTTGCCATACAGAAACTTTTTAGTTTGATATAGTCCCATGTGTTCATTTTTGCTTTTGTTTCTCTTGCTAGAGGAGATGCATTCAGGAAGAAGTTGCTCATGCTTATATTCAGGAGATTTTTGCCTATGTTGTCGTCTATGAGTTTTGATAGTTTCATGACTTACATTCAGGTTTTTGATCCTTTTTCAGTTTACTTTTGTGTATGGGGTTAGATGATAATCCAGTTTCATTCTCTTGCATGTAGCTGTCCAGTTTTGCCAACATCAGTTGTTGAAAAGGCTGTCATTTCCCCATTGTATGTCCATGGCTGCTTTATCATATATTAATTGACCAAATATGTGTGGGTTTATATCAGGGCTCTCTAGTATGTTCCATTGGTCTGTGGGTCTGTTTTTGTGCCAGTACCAAATTATCGTGGTTACTGTGGCTTTGTAGTAGAGCTTGAAGTTGGGGAGCATAATGCCACCAGCTTTATTCTTCCTCCTCTGGATTGCTATGGCTGTTTGGGGTCTTTGGTGGTTCCATATGAATTTTAGAACGATTTTTTCTAGTTCATTGAAGAATGCTGTTGGCATTTTGATGGGAATTGCACTGAATCTGTGGATTGCTTTAGGCAAGATGACCATTTTAACAATGTGAATTCTTCC